TGAGCGAAGGTCAAGCGAGGAAAAGAATTCTGCACCTTGGAGACAATCGAGAGCGTCGTCTATGCGGGGAAGAGGGTAAACATCTTTCCTCGTAATGTTGTTTAGGCGCCTGTAGTCTACGCAGAACCGGATTGAACCATCCTTTTTTTGACGAGTACAACTGGTGAAGACCAAGGACTACAAGAAGGCTTGATGACTCCACGCTGTAGCATGTCGTCTACTTGTTCTGCAATTACGCGACGCTCTGCCGGAGACACACGATAGGGGCGCTGGCGCAAAGGAGTACTCTTTCCTGTGTCAATTGTGTGCACAATTGCGTTCGTTCTTCCTAGAACCGCTTGGGGAAAGTCGAACGAATGCCTGAATTCGTGTAACAGGGTAAGAAGCTGCTCTCGTTGAGCCGGGGCTAGATGGCAGTCAATAGAACGATGAAATGCATCGGAGGACACACTGTTCGAGGCAAAGTGAGGAACCAACGCGTTCAGTTCCATATTCGGCTTGGTGTCGGAGAAATCGGCAGGCACGATAGTACCTTCATCGATAAGCTGAATGTGGCCGAGCGTCTCGTTGCGGCGCAAACTGAGGGGGCACGAGTTCGGATTGGAAATAAATATTCCGGTAGTGTCTTTACAAAGCGCAAGAACGGCGAATGGCAGCGATGTGTGATGGCGGCTACCGAAAGATGTGAGATGGCGTGAATAGGACGGTAGCGTCAGAAAGTGAAGTGCAGCAGGCAGGGACAAACTGGGCGCTGAAAGGAGGAAGGTCTATGTCCGTCGCGACGACAAGGTTAGCCACACTAGATACGGCCGCATCAACAGAAGGCGCATCACGAAACGGTAACAGCTCCACTTCGGCCCGAGCGCAGTCCACGACGGCGTGATGACGTGATAGGAAATCCCATCCTAGGATTACATCGTGGGAACATGAAGCCAACACGTGAAATTCAATGATGTACAACACGTCTCGAATAACCACTTTTGCCGTACAAGCCGCGACGGGCTCAATTTGTTGGGCGCTCGCAGTGCTCAAAGAAACTACGGGAGAAAGCATCGTCACTTTACGAAGAGAGCGGCAGAGTCTTTGGCTAATCACAGATATCGCGGCACCGGTATCGATGAGTGCAAGTGTTCGTACACCTTCGACGATTACATCGATAAGATTGGCGGGAGACAGGCGAGGACTTAAACAATTAGACGATGACGCAGCTCGTGCCTCCGGAGCTGCGGCAGTTAGTTTTCCGTCTCAATGGAGGTCGGTCGTCGACGCATAGGCGACACGGAACGACGACTTGGTGAAGGGGAAGGTGAGCGGGAAGTAGAACGTCGAGAAGCGGAGGTTCGGGTACCGGAAGCAGCTTGCGCATCGCGTTCGTGAACTTCAGGTGGCACGTGAGGCGCGTGGTCATGGAAGACCGAAACGAGTAGTCAGGGTATCTTGGTGTATTAGCTGCGAAGCGCCGACGACATAGACGCGCAACGTGACCTGGAATCCCGCAAAAGTAGCATATCGGCCGGTTGTCAGCAGTGCGCCAAGGATTTCCAGCATGCTGCTGTGTAGCTGGAAACGGCGCGGTAGAAGGTCGCACAGGTTGTGGCGTATACAATGGCAGACGAGGCGGAGGCATTGCCGCGACGGCCGCATAAGTCAGTGGCGCGGCAACAGGTGTTGATGGAGAGGCAGGCGTAGGTAATGGCAACGCCTCGGAGACCTGCTCCTGAATAGCCTGTCTGATTGTCGGCGTTAGACGGTTCGTTGGTGCTTCGGTGGTCGGCAGATACGAGAGCACACGAAAGCTGTCGTGCGACCTCTTCACGTACATATACTTTATCTGCTCCAGCAGGGTGCTGTCACCACTGACGGCCAGGGAAGCGAGAGAGTCGTCTGCTGTCGTTGACCTCCGAACTAATGCACGTTGCTTGCGAATCTCTTCCAAGTTCTGGCACAAGGTTACAAGTTCGGATACGGTACTTGGGCCCTTTGCCAGCAACATTTGGAAGGCATCATCAGTCTATTCCTTTCAAGATATGCCTGATCTTTTCTTGCTCGGTCATCTCAGGGTTAAAGCGCCGGCATAAATCGATAACATCTTCAATGTAGCTAGTGAAGTTTTCGCCCTGCCTTTGCGCTCGTCCGCGTAGGCGCTGTTCAGCACGCAGCTTGCGCACTGCGGGGCGATCGAACACAGCTGCAAGGGTGGTCTTGAACGCGGCCCAAGTGGTAAATTCCGTACGGTGGTTTGTCTTTGAGATAAATGGGACGTACTCCAATTTCGAGGGGTCGTCCCACTTGTTGGCGGCGCTCACCTTTTCAAACAGCTGCAACCAGTCTTCCACATCTTGGTCCTCGGCGCCGCTGAAGAAGGGGGGATCTCGTTGGCGCAGGGTGGTAGGTACGATGACCAGTTGAGATTGGGCCGTGCTCTGCAGGGGGGTGCCTTGCTCGGTCGTCTGATCAGGCATTGCTGATGCAGTGGGTAGCTTCCGGCTTCGAAGTTCCAGGTTTGCGTACCCAGCACACTTCCACCACTTTGCAAGGGAGTTTAATAGCGACGCAAGGTAGTAGGCAGGCAGCCGGTACGGAACAGAAATGATCGAGCCGTCCAGCGTCTACAGCTCGTGCACACACTCGCGCTTCGCTCTCCGAGAGAGATGGTCCCACTAGTCAGTGCCTTGCGAATTCCCCACTACACCTTAATAAAGCTCAGCTCAAGGCGTTACCGCTATGCATTTGGTGCAACGAAATTGAAACAATTGAACATTTCTTTTTATTCTGTCATCGTTATTCTTATCAGAGAAAAAGATTTTTAGTTGCCCCATTACAAAAGCTAGGAATACAAGTAAATTTATTAGTAATTTTATCACTTGGCGGAACTTCATTTGGTTACTGCCACAGTGATATATGCTCCGCTGTGTTTGACTACATCAACGCAACTAAAAGATTACCATGCTAGTGAACCACTAGCTTTTCAGATCTTTAGTTTATAATTCATAGTAATGTCTTTCAAAAACAAAAGATGGTTTGACCGCTTGCTCAGCACACATTTTTGTTTTTGGTAGTATTATTTTACGCTACTTTTTCAGATTGGCTTCATTTTTAGTTTAGTTTCATTTAAGTATCCTGCCGCCCGGTTCTTGGCCCATCCCCCTTTGTGGGTAAGCGCCATCCATCAGAGGTCATCAGCATCAGCATCAGCATCAGGCTCTGAAAGCCTGCTCTTCTAGCTTTCGCTGTGACTGTGCTGTACCTTTTGCGCAGGCCTGGCGTTTTGTTTTCCTTTAGTTTGCGTTTGCTTGTAGCTGGCGGTGCTGCTCTTCATACTCCTGTGTGAGTATTCTATAAGTGCCGGAAGCCTCTAGTTGGCCTTGTTTTTCAGTCGTACTCAGTGTGCTTCTTGGGATCCTGCGCGCCGCGGCGACGTCAGGCTTCCTTTTCTTCACATTCGACTGCGTTATATATCACAAGCGTTTTTCTGCTTCGGGGCAGCATTCTCGTTCACAAAGGCTGCAGAGAATAGTGAGGTAGCGAACGGCGACTGCACACCACGGGCGCGACAACAATGAATCTGGAGAAAAGCACGCTCTGGCAAGTAGTAGTGTCTACTAGCTCCACACGGCGTCCTCCTAAACATAACATTTGCTCTTCCGAATGCATTAGAGAACGTGTAATTTCGCGAAGAAAAATCAAGTATTTAAAGAAAGCTATCTTTTGGGGGCATTGCGCGCTGCTGAATGTTCGATATTAAAGTGTTGTGGCATTTTTGCTTAATGTAGCCGTATATCTTCCTATGAATTGACGTTAAAAAGCGTTGTCATTTTGTAAAATGGTTAGATATAAAAGAAAATTCGAATTGCTAGAGTTCAATATAGCCGAGTTTGTCGATATTGCATTTAGTTGCTATCGCATTCACCACGTGACTCTTGTGATGAAACTGATTTTTTTTAAGTAGAGAAGCTATAACGATGATTATTATTGCGATATAAATTGAATGAACACTCTCGACTGGATTTTGCCGCCACCGTCGACGTTAGAAAAAAGCACTTCGGCGCGGTAAATTGAACGTAGGACCTCTGCCTCGTTAAAAGGAGGCGTTAACCCCTGAGCCACCCAGGAGAACGTGCTTCCCCTTTCATACGGCAAGTATTTATATCTACCAATTACCGCTGCTGTGTTTTCGGTTACCAGTATGATGGAACAATGAGCGCACGTCGCCACATCGCGCAGCAGCGCCCGCTTTAATCTCCTCTTCGTACTTTGCCTGCCAGGCTTAGAGAAGGGGAGCTAGGCTCCCTCGTGCGCCCTATCGCGCGATGGCGAGGAGGGGAGGATCGTTCGCCTTGGCTGGCCTAGAGCTTTACGTGAAACGATTCTGCTGTAGTTACCGGGTACACAAAGATGACTGCAATCACCGGAGCCTCCGTTCGCGAATATATATATATATATATATATATATATATATATATATATATATATATATATATATATATATATATATATATATATATATATATGTATATATATAGTGTGTGTGTGTGTGTGTGTGTGTGTACGGACGGACGCGAGATGACGTGGATCGCTGAGCTTTTGTGCTACGTGCATGAGCAAGCGGCAACGTTTCCAGCAGATGCCTTCAGCAATGCAATATGCTCTGGGCCGGTTAGGAGCGTGTCATTTTTTATTGTACAAATGTCATTAGGCTAAAGTAAAAAACTTGTCTGTGACATGTTCGCCTAACAACACGGCTGCATCACAACAATATCTGCTTAGCTGCAAGAAGGATATATTTCGTGATCTTTTTTTTTTTCGCAGCGTGTGTATTTATTCTTGCTCTTCGTCTTTGCGTCATCTTATTTAAGCTGTCTTGATGCATACACGTCGCGTTAACCCATTTTCTCACATTATCTCGGGAGACATTCGGTCACTTCTGGCAGACGCCCCTACAACTAGCGTGAGAGATTTTTCTGAGGGTAAAAAAAAACGAAAAACTAGTGGCAGCGTACCTGAAATAGTCAAAGATGCCGTACACGGGCTTGAAGGAACATGTAGTCAATGGAGGATCCTACCGATGCCTTTCTCCGCTTGGTTGTATCATATCCCTGCGTATGAAATGTTAGCACCGCACTGTAAAACCAGATTACAATCATATTGGTGCAATATGCTGTCTATTACTCAGATCACTACATCTCACAAAATTGGCGTAAAAAGCAGGACAACACCTATACAATGGGTATGTTTCCGAAATTTCACCCTAGGGTGGGAACGATATTTTGATGTAATAGCGAAAGTACCCCCAAATGGCCAAAAGAGTGTGGGGGTACAGTAGAAAAATCACACCCAAATGATAAAAAGAAAAGGGGGGGTGTAATGCACCATACAGCGAAATGGGTGTTTGTTCGTTCGGAATTTATTCAAAACAATTCACGATCGTCTTAGAAGACACGGCAAAAGGGCCGAAAGGTGCCTGACTAGGCTGCATCACCCAGATAGCAGTTGCGACTGTGCGTGATGTCATTCACAATTTAACACAACCGCAATAGCACTCATATGGTACCATAGAAAAAAAATTAAAAAAAGAAAATGAAAAAGTGTGCTCTGGTAGCTTTGAAAGTAAAACAAACAGTACAACACAATGCAACAATACAGTTGCACAAATGTGGCAGTATCTGTTCTCCGATATACGTGACACAGCATATAACAACAGTTTAGTAGATAACTGAGCACTACATTTTAGAACTCAGAAAACAATAATTAATTTACTTGCCTTTTGAATTGAGTGGGAGTGTTTACGCAGAATTACGCTCCAACAGCCAATGCGAAAAATTCTATAATTCGAGCGTTACTCCCTTGTAGTAGGCTTCCATGGAAGCACTAGAAAGCTGGCCATTAAGCTTCAACTTTCTGGGGCAGACGTTTTATCACAGTGAATCCTGCCACAGTTGCACAGTCCTGGTCTTAGCAGTGTTTTTATGATGTATATGAAGCACGGCGTATATGGGTCTGACATATTTGCAGCTAAATACGAAGGCATCACTCAAAATGAGTTGTCACATATAACATGACGTCAACACAAATATTCCGTAGTTCAAAATGAAATCAAGCTTTATTTTTCACAAAAGAAGTTCATACAGGCTTCAGAGACAAAGTTTAGCTTATCGAAAGACATTTTTGAGTGTTCAGAGTGGAATACTATTTGCTGCCAAAGAAGACATAAAATCAGACGTGAATTTCATGGCACGGTGTACTAACGACCAAGACACGTGCATCAAAGTACAACAAAACAGCCTTTATTTGCACTCTGAAATGAAGAACTGGTTTTAACATGCTTCCACACAACAAAATATACAATATAATATGCAAGGACAGGGGCATTCTAATGAATAAATGAGTAGGCGGTCTTGAAGTGGCATTTTCATGTCACAATATTCTTTGTGCGTTCATACATACAGAATACTGGAGAAACAAATATACAGGCGTGACAGCAATAGGCACAATTACAATGGCTTAACGGTGTCACCACAGTCAAACCATACAGAGTAGTTGATGTGGAGAGAGAGAAAAATAAACGTTTATTTAGAAACAGGGTTCCGAGTGAGGCGCAGCGTCACCCTAAGGTGGGAGGGCTCTCTAGTCCAGGAACCCTCTGGCTTCGACTGCCCTCTTGGCACTAGCGACGAGTTGTCGCTGGTCTTCCAGGTCCTCGAGCACGAACTTGGCCTCCCACGTTTCAGCTGTAAAATAATAGCCGCATCACACAATCAAGAACTTGTCACCATGAAAAAGCAAAATTTTAAATACCGTAAAATGGTCACACAAAAATGATAGTGAGTAGTAACCAGTTACAACTAGCAGGGGTGCAACATTCAAGTAAGTATCTGGAGCAACATTTCAGAGCAACATATCTTGCTTTTCATGCACGAAAATGCAAATTTGAAGCAGGTTTCAGAAAAAATAAACTTGACATTTTCTAGCCTGAAATTCCAATTAGCAGTAGTAAAGGAAATGAGACTGACTTTCAGAAAACAAAAAGATAGATGTAGAAATGATTTAACATCGGCTAATTCATTCAAAATACACGTGAGCGCCGCTATTTTAATATGAGCATTCTCTGCAGCTGTCCCACAGGGCAAACAATGTTAAACAATACATTACCATTGGCCAAGCTTGTCAAACTATTTGACAGGCAACCCATAAGTTTGTGAGATTCGTAAAGCAGGAGGTAAAGGAGTGGCGAAAAGAAAAAAAATGGTGTGCGTTTTTGTTTGCTGTTTCTTGAGGCCGCATAAACCTCATACATCACTCTAAAAGACTCCCAGTAATTTCTGGATGCCAGCATTCCTACTAGTGCTCGTTATTATATGGCCTCTGGATGCATGACTAAGTAATAGAGAAATATGTTCTCATATTTTCCCTGTGACAGCGAGTACTAGTACCCACTTCTAAATCATAAAGCGCTTTTTTGCAGAGCAAACGTATACTGTGGCAAAAGTGCCTCAAAAAGCGTTATGCACGTATTGTAACAAGGCCCGGAAATTTTTTCAAAACCACTCTACTTTCTTTTTGTCGTGGGGTTAGGTTGTAGTGGACTAGAAGTTTGAGCTAAAATGAATAGTACTGAAAAATTATTGAAGTCGGTCGGGTATTTGAGACTCGCTTTGCACAAGAAGAAGATATTGTATGAAGTTGACACAATTGGTGCAGCTGTTTTCCCCCTGAGCACGTAAATATGAATAAGAAAACAGCATGTACTGTTGTGCTACAAACAGTATACATGGGCTGTGAATAGATACAAATGCCACAGCTGCACATTCACACGATTATATCACGTGCAGCTGGCTTAGGATTCTCAAGAGAGCAGGGTTATAAAAGTCCTGAGAAGAGATACATTCAGTATATTTTGTGGTAATTAGAAGGATTATTAAACAGACAACCATCTGCTCTATTCATGACATACTATTAGGGAACCAATCTTTTAGATTTCAGTAAAGTAGGCTTTCTCCACTTTGTCATACGATTCTGTTAACATGATGCATTTTTATACGATTTTTTACACGCACTGCCTTATGACAAACTGACGCTAGATTTGGAACAATGAATACGCGGGTCATATACCTTGAGATGAAATCTTTCGTATCAGAGGAATCTTCAAGAAATACGCAAGACATTTAGTGCACCCTTTGAGTAGCGTCCATCATTGATGAAACCCTCTGAGCGAGGTCGTGAGCTCGAAACAACTGCTTCCAAGATGTGATGAAGAGTGCGCTGCATTATCAGCATCCGGTCCCATCGAAAACAACGTAGTACGCTTCACTTTCAAGGTTCTGCATGTAAGACATTGATAGAAATAAACTAAGTGATAAAAATATTGGGAACAATCCAAACCTCATTACGTTGCATTCTATAATGAAAATCTCTCGTTTCCTACTTCAGATTTACCAATACTCGCTTCCTTGTTAGAAGCATCTGTGCATTTTAGTTTACGAACGCAAGTGCCATCTCTGACTCCACACCATGGTTCATCAAAAACCTTAGCAAACGTACGTAGAGGAACTAATTGCTTCTGTCATCCTAACATGCACCTACAAAAAAGATTGAATTACACTGGGATGCTCATGTTTCAGTCTTTATACCGAGACCTGTCGTTTAGATACAACATTTTAACCAATACGCCGCTACAATTGGCAATACAAAAAGCATAAATCAATTCTGACGGAAGAGCAGCATTATTTATCGTTTACTTTGAAGGATTCTTTTGTAGACATGTACACATCGGAGATGTTCAATCAAATAAAATCACAGTAAAACATTGAGAAAGCCCCCATGTGAGTTGGTAAACAGCTATTATACAATGGAAACTGCTGCTGGAAACACCGCACAGTGTATTTGTGGAAGCTCACCTGTAAGTTTCAGTTCTAGTAAGATAAATTTGGTATACTGGATAACTATATAGTCTGTCGTTCGTAGGATGCCTATAGCTAAACAAACAGAAAAAATTCCCTCTCTTACGAGACCACGAGTGAGGCCCACTGTTCCAAAAAATCTATGACATACAAATTTTATTCTGCTTCAAATGCATGCGTAAGCAGCTCTCTGGCAGTTAATATATATATTTTTTTCAATTTCTGAAAATAGCCATGCAACCGACAGTGTGTCAGAAAGAAGTTAAACAGATGTTGTTCAAAAAGCTCTAAACTGCTAGACTATAAATACCAAATAATAAAAAAATACCGAAGTGAGTGCAGAAGAAGGTAATAACAGCAGCATATGTGTGAAGAGCTTATTAGTTAGATCAGTTTGTTTACATCTATAATGACGAAAAATGCGCAGGCAAGACGCTTAAACAGGCAAGCCTACCTTTCCAGCAATAGGACCAAATCCAAAAGCATTCTTCGAGTAGCTCCAAGCATACACTTGGTTGAATGCTTGATCGGAAGAAGTCAGCATGCGGTATGCACAAACTTGAACGAAAGCCGTTGACAGAGAAGACGCACTGCGCCGCACCGAAGTCATTGTTCCATACTTGCCGATGCGCCGAGCGCCAGTGCAGCCGGCGTGGCAGCGCATCGAATCCAAGTGGAGCAGGCGCACACGAGCGTACCGCTTTTGCTGTACTACAGACAAGCTAGGCCAGTGCTTGGCTACTGCGAAATGGCGCGCTCGAGCGATGTAGCCGATGATGTAGAGCCGCTCCCAAGTGTGCGTGTGTTGCTACGCTTCAGTGCGCGCCCGCACCAGCACACTGGCGCTGCACGGAGCGTGGCCACGCACTCGCGTGTTCACCCTAACAGTACTCACTGCTGTACGATATCTTCGGTTCGTGCCAACTAAATAATTGTGGAAGCCACAGAAGTACACGTCCTGTACAAAGCAAGTGAACCGTAAAAGAATCCGCCATCGTCAGCCTGCAGCAAACACGCGCACGACATGTCACCACCAGATTCAAAGGCTGCCTATTGACGATGGTGATGCGCAGTTGCCCTAAAAAGTTTATGCCCGAAAGTGGAACCGAAATTTATTGTATCACCGTTTTATGACAAATATTTAAAGGTATGACCAACTAATACAAAGTGTAACTTTTTGTGCTAGACAACAAGCTTGT